AAAACGCTCCCTATTTGGAAGTTCTGGTTCTTTGGTAATATTCCCAACGACTTTTTGTATCTGCCTCAGGAATAGTGGATCCACAAGAACGTGACTAAAGGGTGGCCTCATGCGCAGCCCCTTGATTGGCAAGACATCTTCACTGTTACATCCTGGTTCTTATAGAACTGGAGAAACAAAGAAATTCATGAAGCTCAATTTGTCAGACTTGCTAACCCTCCCCTTCTCATCATGAATTACATTATAGAAATTAGGAATATTGCTGGTAAGAATGGCTCCTGCAGAACAGCCCTTTTGGAGAGACACCTGATGAAGTGGAAGCCTCCCCCAATTGGCTGGTGGAAGTTAAATGTTGATGCTGCTACGAAGAGAAATCCTTGCGAAGCTTCGTGTGGGGGTCTCATTAGGGATGATCAAGGAAGATGGATTTCTCGGTTCATTTATAACATTTGAAGTTGTGACCCGTTGACAACAGAGCTCTGGGGAATCCTCAAGGGGCTTCAATTTGCTTGGGATTTGAAAGTCCAGAACCTCATTGTAAAGAGTGACTCCCTTCGGGCTATTCAAGCGCTTATTACCATGAGGGATGACAATGCTTGTTTTTTCTTGAACAATTCTATTCATAGCTGGCTGGAAAAGGATTGGCACATTGTGTTGCTTCATGTTCGAAGATAAGGGAATTCTTGTGCAGACTGGATTGCTAAGTCCGCTTTTAACTTTCATGAGTTTTTTGTGGTCTTTCATAGTGTCCCCTTTGGTTTAGGGCCTTTGGTAGAGGAGGAGGCTACTGATATGTAGCTGTTGTTTTGTTTTCTGGGCTTGAGCCCCTCATCAATACTAAAAAAAAAGGAAAGTGAAAACTATCTTTATTCTGTTAGAAAAAGTATGTATACAAAACAGAGAATCCACTTAACTTATAAAGCAAACTAAGTAGATATAAACTGACTAAACAAAATAATAGACTATTGTTAGGATAAGATCATCTTGATTTTATCTTTCCAACAACTTTTCTAGTCATCAGATTAGTTGTTGTTTAGTCATCAGATTAATTGTTATTTATTCTTATTCATCATATTAGTTACTGTCTAGTCATTAGATTAATTGTTATTTATTGTTTAAATTCAAAAGTGCAACAAACATTTGTATATATTTTTGGCTTCTATGCAATATACAAACATTCTTCATTGCACTAGACAACAACTAATCTGATGACTAGGAAAGTTGTTGGAAAGATAAGATCAAGATGATCTTATCATAACAACTATTTATAAAATAACTACCTACTACAACAACTAAAGATATAGAACTAAAACAAACTACCAATTACTAGCAATTATCTAGTAACTACCTATAATATATCAACTAACTTAAAATAAATCAACAATTCATAAAATAATAAAATTAACAAACTAGTAACATTCTCCCCCCTTACAAATTACTATTGTCCTCAAGAGTAAGATTAAGTGATTGAATTATTTTCAATATCCATGTTTGTCTATCTATTGTTGTTGGTTGAAAAATGTCCTATAGCCACGATTCTTTCTTTTCCCTTCTCAAAATTTTTATAAGTGAAGCTCTGATTGGATATGTCTTATCTGAACCAAAAATCTAGGGTCTTGGTTGAGAGGCTCGATTTGATTGAGACACTTTGACTGTGTTCAAAATTTTAATAGCAATGGTAGTGTTAAGGGGGGTTGCTTTATGTGTAGAGATAAAAAGAGAGAAATATTTGGGTGTGAAATGAAATAAGAGAGTTTGGTGGTTGATACAAGAGCATCTAGCCGATTGGAGAGTTTAGTAAACATCTCCTTCAATTGAATGGAAAGTTCCTGAACTGCATCTTCTAGTTTTCCCAATTGTTTCTCCATGCTTGGTGTCTGACTCTGATACCAAACTGTTATATACATAGAATGGTAGCTTTTATTGAGGAAGTTTTACCTCTTACACAAAGTATTTTTCCAAATAATTCATCTGATGAATTCTTTATTTCATATGATGAGAGTTTAAATAGATAAAATACAATTTGAAAACAATAACTACCTACTACAACAACTAAATATATTGAACTAAAACAAACTACTCACTACTAACACTTATCTAATAACTACCAATAATCTATCCACTAACTTAAAATAAACCAACAATTTAGAAAATAATAAAATAACAAAATTAAAAACCCATAACATAGAGGCTCTTGTATCAGTCGCACACAAGACAAACAGTTGAATCATAGCACACAGAGGGCATAGCTAATATTTTGGGTTCAAAGTTTGGGTCCTACACCTTGTCTTTTGATGATAACAAACAAGTGAAGCCAAATTATCAAACAATTTGGTTATATTTTGAAAGGTTGTTACAAGACTTAATTTGTGATAAATTGTGATGAAGAGAATATGACACTATTGTCATGAAATCATGAAGATCGAAGTTGCAAGATAAAATCTTAGATTTCATGTAATGGCTGAATGAGGTGAATCCTGATCATGCCTTAGGTTAGAATCTTTAAAGCTTTGGAAACTAAGGAAAAGAAGATTTAAAAGTTTTATTTTTAATCCAAATAGAATTTTAAAATTTGGTTTTTGATTTGAAAAAGAAAAAGTTAATTTGATATTAATTTTCTTTTTGAAATATTTGATTAGATTTTACATAATTTTGGAAAATTAATTTGAAGATTTTGATTTTATTTTCAAAAAGATATTTGGGAAAGTTTTCTTAAAAATCATGATAATATTGAGATTTTTTCTTAGTAGTTGATTTTGAGAAAAAATCTATAAAAATCACATTTTAAGTGTTTCTTCAAATCGTGTGGATGAGCTTTCAAGAGAAAAAAAGGCTTTTGAGCATTCAACAGAAATTTTGTTTGAGCTCAAGAGAAAAAGCACACTGAGTGTATTATAAATATTTATTCTTAACGCGCATTCAAAATAATTTGGAAAATGAAAATATAATGGAGGAAAACACCTCTGTGCAAATATGATAAATGCTCTTGTTGTGCCAATTGATATTGGATGGGCTAATGGGCATTAAGAACATTTTGTTACTTAAAAGTTTTGGGTCTTAAGCTTTATATTTGATATGCAGAATTCGAACCGGGCCAGACTTTCTTGCTTTGTTTATTATTTCCATTTCCATCGGTTAGAACGGTTAAGGCCTAACGGACGTCAAATATGTAGTTACGTGAAAGGAACGAACTTATAATACCACAAATGTGGAAGATTCATTTTCGTCGTTGTCCAATATTGAGCAGAACTAGCTGATAGCTACCCATACAATTACAACTTTCCATGCAATGAGACAAACACTTTGCTTAATCTTTGTACATTGTTTGTAGATTTTTATTTTATTGACATTGTCATATACTCTTTAGAATAAGTATTTTTTAACGGCTTGTTTATCATTAATTTAATGTAAAGTATTTCATTATTTAAATACATTAAAATTTTAAAAATAAGTTGACTTTAGATACATTAAAACTTTTTATCTAATAAAAAAAAATTCCACTATTTGACTCATCTTGCAAATAAAATTGATTTTCCATAGAATAACTCAAAATTCAGATATCCACAGACAGTGATAAGGTTAACTGTTTGACTTTTCTAATAAAAATGATTTATAACAATTAAACAAGGCTTTAATGTTAATGTAGATAAATTATCTATATTCGCTTCCAAAATGATGTCATTTTAGATTAAAAAATTATAAAAAAAAGACTAATATAACCCAAAATAAATTATAATTACAAGAATATATTGATTTCCGTCTCAAAACAACGTCGTTTTGGGCTCAATGCAGATAAATTATCTATTGACTATAGACTAGCAAACCCATTAAACAAATATCCCCACACAATATAGATAGAAACATAATAAAATTAAAGAGCAAAGTTCCACAAAAAAAATGCAATTATACATATTTTTAAAGGCTTTAATATTTGTTTCAGTTCGTTTGGAAATTTTCCGAAAAGCTAATCATAGGTTCTTCTCTCCATCGGAACAATAGGGCCACTATGCTCATTACTAAACTTGTTGAAGAAATAAAATAGAACCAAGATTTCTCTTTTTGATCAGAGGTTGAATCGATCATCAGAAGAAGAATTAGGCCAAAAATGAGGATACATTATGGAAAAATAAAACTTTCATCGAAGAGAAGCAAATGAAAGGCTTTCATAAAAATTCTCGTAGAATCGAGAATAGATAAAGTATCTACATTCACCCCGGAACAACGTCATTTTGAGTTGAAAAATAAAAAATTATAACAAGAAAGACTATTATAACTGTGAAATAAATTATAATACATTGATCTCCATTCCAAAATAATATCATTTTGGACTCAATGTAGATAACTTATCTCTATTGATTACAGAAAAATGAACCCATTTTTAAATCACTCAACTAATTAAAGACAGTCCCAGCATAATTTTGAACTTTTTAAAATAAATTAAATTTTATAGTTTTTGCCATAAAGATCTAAACTGAGATTTTCTGTATGAAATAATTTATGATTTGATAAGATTATATTATTTTAAGAGTAAAGACCCATTTTGATCCTTAACAAAAAACACGGTCCCCATTTTAGTCCCTTACAAAAATAAATTAGTCAGTTAGTCCCTAACATTTGTGAAGGACTAATATGGATCTTTTTTGAATTTGTGAGGGACCACGATTTCAACTAAATGGGTCCACTTTGAATTTGTTAGGGACTAACTGACTAATTTATTTTTGTAAGGGACTAAAATGGGGACCGTATTTTTTGTTAGGGACTAAAAATGGTATTTACATGTACCAAAAAAAAAATGGTATTTACTCTTATTTTAAACGATAAAAGAAGAAGAATAATAAAAAGCATAAGGAAGAAAGTAATTATTTTTTTAATTTAAATTTTAAATTAAAAAAATACTTAAAATAACATAATTCTATCCACTCTTAAAAACCGCACGCAACTTAATATAATTAAGAGGGTATGGATAAAAAGATATTTGGAGAGGCAGAGGTTGACGTGCGAGTAACCCGTGGCACAACGTTTCGAGCATTGAGTCGCACGCAACTCTCACACGCTTCCTTTCTATATATGTAAGAGACAAACTATGTCCAACACTCGATGCTGTTGCCCTCCAACCATTTTCTCATTCTGGTATTTAACTTTCAAATTCTATGTTTCCTTCCTTTTCTCTTTCCATGCCCCTCAATTTTATTTATTTATTTATTTATTAATTTTATTTGCTAAATACTTGCTCTTTCTCTTATGATTTTGACGTTTTGCAATTTGGATTTCGAGGATTTGAGTTTCATCAACTGTTTGCTTAGATTTCTCACCTTGTTTCTTAATTCTTGTCGTTGAGCCAAGATAGCAAAATGTCTTGTAACTAGTTTTGTTTCTTTAATATAGGAGAAAACTAGAAAAGCTTAGTTAATGGCTCCAGAAATGTGGGAGATAAATACAAACTTGATCAAAGTTGGAAATTAAGTTTGTTGCTGTAAAATGGAGCATCGTTTGGTTATCTAGACATTAGAAGGAAACCAAGGTTTTCTAGTTTAACTCGCAAATATAAACTTTGTTAATGTGTTTAACTGGTAAATAATATGTATAGTTAGTTTCTTTTACGTCTGTTACATTTAATTTTGCATCATTGATGAGCCCTCTGTGAAGATTTGCTGATAAATACATTCATCTTTTTTTTGTTTTTTTTTGGCAATCAGAGGTCTGATCAATGGCACTGTGTAGAAGTGGGCCAAACCCACTTTTGGAGAGTAATAGCTTAGCTTATTTGGCTCAAAATTTGTCGACAAGACTTATTGTACCTGTTCCCCTTCGTTTTGCTGGACAATTCTTTAATTTAGGAAGGAGAAAGTACAAGGGAGTATGCTGCTCATCATTAAGGAAAGCTGCTTCTGCATCTTCTGTGGAGTCACAGGAAGATGCTCCAAGTACCTTTTCGGTTTGCTTGGAGGAGGAACTGGATCATGTTATACAGTTCAAAATGTCAGACTTTAAGATTTTAGATCATGTTAGCATTGGCCTCGGTGGGCGGGTATGAAATCTAAAATAGGTTTATGATGTGACATTACTGGATTAAATTTTTAATGCCAGTCTGATTGATTTAAGTTTTGCTATAGGCGGATGAGGTAGTGTTTGAAGGCAAGGTGAAGGATAGTGGTAGGTAAGTTAATTCTTGGTATGGTTCAGGTCATATGATTAGTTTTGATCATAATATCTGTATCTATTCATTTTTCTCTGCAGCCCTTTGTATAACTCTAGAGTTGTGCTCCGGCAGCTTTCTAGTGCCCAAGCTCAGCGCCGAGGGAAACGAGCAATAGAGGTATGTTGATCTTGTAGTATTGCAATTTAAATAGTTTATAACCCATCACAATTTTTTCTTGGCATCTTTTAGGTATTGAAGAAACTGGTTCGCCGGAAACTTCTGTATCATTCTTACTCAATGCAAGTTCATGGCTATATCTCTCTGCCAGCAACCGGAGGTAGTGGTTCATTCATCCTAGTCCATGGGGTAGGTCTTAATCTATGAAAGAATTTATTTATTTTTTACTTCCTTTGTATATGGTTGTTCTCTTTCTTGTTCAGATTAATGTTTTGTCAATTTGACTCTTTTTGTGTGCCACTTTCTAACCCCACAAAAAAAAAATCCTGAAATTTTTTTGGTTTAATAACTTTTCCTTACAGTATCATGGTAGTTTTTCTTTGAGACATTGGCTTCAACAGTCAGATTGGCTTCCGACTTTAGAGGCCACTCTTGCATTGGATGAAGAGTCTGTTAGGAGGGTGGGAGAAGACACAACTGGAGGTCCCGCAGTTTCTAGGCAGTTGAGACTTACTCGAATATTAATGAGGGATCTTCTAATCGGGGTATTTTTTTTATATATTATTCTCTTAATCTTTTCTTTTATGGAAGGCATTTTTACTCATAAGTGCTTTGTATATTCTGTATAGCAATAGGAGGCATGATATTCTTTTCTATTGTTTATTTGCTTTAGGTAAATTACCTGCACAGCCATGGTCTTGCCCATACAGAGTTGAGGCTGGAAAATGTGCATATAAGCCCAATAGATAGACATATCAAAGTAAGCAATGCCATTCTTCTATAAAATTAGAATTATATCTTCTTTCTTCATTCATTTTCTGTCTTCTCCATGGATTAGATTTGCAGTTTGCCTGATCCCAGAGAAGGTTTTGTACTTCACTTATGCTGTAAATCAACAGAATGGCACCAAGGCGGACCTAGAATTTTGTTTTTGTAGCTAGTTTGAAAATTATTGTAATTCCACAAAACAGGAAATGGTATATAGTGATGATTTTGGTTAGCCACCTTTATGCTAAATAGAAAACTAGATTAGAAATGCAATAGAACGTAGGAAAGGAAAAATAACAAATGGGATATACAATATGTCTTGCTGGACGGTGACTTCCAGAGGGCTGATACTTGTTGACACTGAATTTGTGACGTATGCAATCTGAGTTACTTGTAATTAATAATTGGTGTTTCTTCATGTCTAATCTGTTTAATCTTTCCTCTCATGATTTGTTTAACCTTAGTGTTTACTTAACAGGTAGGTATACTGGGAAATGCTGCTGATTTTTACGAGGATGGTTCAAATAGTGACTCTATGGACAGCATGGACAGGCGACAGATGATGATTGCATTTGACATGAGGTATGGCCTGGGAAATTGTCATTGAAGTATATGTGCAACTATATAATCTATTTGACACCTTATTATCTGTGTTGCAAAGATGTGTGGGTTTCATAATGGTGAAAATGGTAATGCGAGAGCTTATTGATCCTTTGATCTTTTCAAAGTTCAAAACATTCCTCACTAAGGTACGAGAAGCTAAATTCTTTAGTTAATATTAGCCTCTTGACTGTTTAAAAAGTACTCAAGTTTTTTCTTTTTTTGTCTATATTAATCTGTTTGTAAAGAACCAATTCAATTTAAAAATCTAAAAGTTTAAGCTGTTAGGTGAAGACCACATTAATGATTCTATATTATATTTTTCTAACATTCCCTTTGCACAATGTAAAGGTGAAGACCACATTAATGATTCTATATTATATTTTTCTAACATTCCCTTTGCACAATGTAAATGCCCATCCATCTGTGCTAAGAGATTCTACAATATTTAATTATTTATTAATGAAATAGGGGCGGTGAGGATCGAATTCATGATCACTTGGTCAGAGAGACTTTGATACCATATAAAGAATCAATTCAGCCTAAGAGTTTAAGTTGTTAAGTGAATACTGCATTGATGGTTTTAGATTATATTTTTCTAAAAATGTTAAGCAAGTGCCCAAGAATGGCTTCATGTCTCTAGTATGCCCCGTCGTACCAATTAATACTTAAATAACTTGTTCTTTGGGCCCATATATATATATATATATATATGGTCTTACCATAGTAAGATGTTGAGTGACTTACTCTGATATAGTTATCTATTAGCTTCAAATCAATATAGAAGTATTTTACCAGACTCTTCTAATTCCTTTCTTTTCTCAAATATTTCATCTCTATACATCTACTTTCTGTCGCCTTGTTTCAGATAGTGTACCTAATGTCAAATGACTCATGGTAATTAAGAAGGGAAATCATTAAAACAATTTGAAAGGGGAAATTGATGAATATGTAGACAGATGTGCTTCAAATGTTTCAATGTTGCCTATTCTTTGACTGAAGAAACATACAAATTATAGAAAAATAGACGATGAAAGGGTCATGCAATGATATGAACTTTCTAACGATAATTCCTGCCACATGCAACTTCAGGGATATGATCCTTCATGTTTGCGAGAGCTTATGTTGGAAATCCTTGGTAGAAGTTCCCCATATGGAAATGCTGGCTTTCAAGTAAGTTTATGTTTCTTCAGTGAAAGTTACTTAATATTTAGAGTTCCATTATTGTTTTCAAGTCTTTTGATGACTTTCTAATATTATTTTCTAACAGATACTTGATAGGAACTGGGGTGCTGGTTGGCACCTTTTGTCTTTATTGCTTGCAACCAAATCCTCTAAAAGGATAAGGTATTCTACGAAGCAATATCCGTCTATTTGAAATATGAATAATTTTTTCATCAATGCTCCCACATCAAGATTTTAAAAAAGAAAAACAGTATGGCCATGAAGAAATTTCAGATATATATATAAAAAAAAAGGTAATAGAGAAAAGTGTTAAAAGTTTCTTTGGTATTTCCGGCTTGATCTTTTGGCAACATGTTGCTAATTTCTCAGACAATTGTGAAAACAGAATTAGCATTTGATTAGAGATAGTAGTTTGATTTGCTCAAGTTTAAAAGTACTACTAGTGCTAACCAAGTGAACTGTTATATATACAGTTGTTTGGACGCTCTTAGACACCCATTCCTTTGTGGTCCAAGATGGCGAGTAGTCCCATCAATGGATATTATCAGATGGGGTCTGGGTTCTACAGCAATGCGTATCAGTGAGGAGTACATTTATCGTCAACCTCAGGTATTCATCCACGGATGGCCCCATACATGCAATGTGTCCCTTTGTTGCATTTTGAGGATCTTGATGTTTGTATAAGAGCTTTAATCTTTGTTGGTGTCAGATGTCCTCAAGTTTTTCCTTTCTAAAGTTTCATTTGCATATTATCCTTAATGCTTCAATTGAAACATTTAACTGAAAGCAACTATCATTATTTAAATGCAGAAGATATATGATACAGAGTTCGACTAATGGGTGTTTTCTATGTTTTAGCGTAGTAGGCTTGCCCACTTCATTGACTTAATGGAGATGTTGAATCCTCATCCAAAGCCAAAGGTAATTAGTGATTAAAACATTCTTGTATCCTTTCTTCGTATTGTCGTTTCTAAATGAATGTCCAAGAGCCATAGCCATTTCTCCTGCACCTTAGCTTACCATCCCTCTCCCACACCTGGTCATGGACCTCGCCTATAATATAAATAAATCAAGAATAAACAAAATACTTAATAGCAATAAGTAACTTTCACCATTTTGTATTACCAAGTCTTGTTATTAATTGGAAGGAATGAAAGCATGATCATAAAACTTGCTACAATTTTTTTTAATAAAAAGAAAACAGTAAAGTAAGGTCATTCTATTTCGACAAAATACCCACAACCAAGTTCCATAGCTTTGGGCCTCCAATCTTTTTTAACCCGCCCCCTCCCGTGCCAAAAGTTAAAATGAAAAAAAGGGGAATATCCATGCGTCAAGTTTACGTACTACGGTACTAGCGTGGATATGATCTCCGCCAGACAAACATAATGCTTTAGCTAGTACACGAAAGTGGAATGTGTATTATCGATATAGGGGATCTTTCAATTGAGAAGATCGATCGACCTACATCGGCAATAATCCGGCAAAGGGGGGATTGTTTAGAGCGGGCTCCTATTTCCGATAGGAGTAGTTGACAATTGAATCATGTTTTTCTTTTCATATCCTTAATAGTGTGAAGAAAACTTCAATGCTAAAGATTATGCTAACTTATGTGTCACTATTCATGTGTGCAGAACTGGTTGGAGCTGCTTCCAGGCAAATGGCGTCTATTGTACTGTACAGGGAAGCATGTAGGGCTAACCCTTCGCCAACCTCCTGCTCGTGTACTCATTGGAGATGTGCATTTAACCGTGAGAAGAGCATCAAAGTTGAAGGCTAATCTTTCATTTGTCTCTGACATTGGATTCTCTGTCCTGATTGGTCAGGACTGGCCTCATGACAAAGCTGGTAAGAGTGGAAGATTGCAGGTGAATTCATCATTTGTACTAACAGCCGGTAGACGGTTATATCTGAAGCAAGACAAGACCACAGAGAAGTTCTACTTTGGTCCTTCCAGCAATGAGGAGGCTTTAGCTCAGAAATTTACTGACAAGAAATGGAGAAAAATAGTCCCTTTCAAGGAGCTTCCATCATGTCTTCCTGCAGCCAAGCTTGCATCAAGTGATATTGATGTGACAATGAGTCTTGATGATCCATTAAATGAAAACATTGATACTGCAAGAAATGTTCTTCAAGAACTAAGAACACAAGTTCCCCCAGAAATATTTGATTTGTCAAAGCTTGTGTGTGGAACTTATGTGGACTCAAGGATGCTTGTCCTTCGAGGGGTTAATGGATCAGCGCTCTTATTTACAAGGTCTTTTGTGGATAGAAACAGTTTTAGATAGTTGTTGCTGTAGCTGATTCAGAAATTATTATTTGCCTGTATATTTTTCTTTTTTTCGATTGTGATCTCAAATGAATGTTACCTCCCAAGCACCAAGAAGAAATGATTGTCCTTCCCTATAGTTGTTTTATTTTATGAATGATCGTTAAATGTAAAAATCGTTTTCTTTTCTTCAAGTAGTTCTGTTTTTGGTAAGGAATTGTTAAAAACACTTTTTTTTGGGTGAATTTAAAAGCATATTAGATAGTTAGGTAATGGTTTGGTATATACTATGTTAGAACATTTTAATGATTAATTTTTAATCGGATATTAAATATTAATCATTCAACATTCTTTCATTATATATTAAGAGGCAACCAAATCAGCATAGTTAATGGCATTTTTAATGATTTATTATTTTGTTGAAAGATTGAAGCTATCCGTTAATAAGGATATTTTTGTTTCGTTATTGTATCCAAAACAAAAGGATTTTTATTTTTATTTTTAAAAAGTAGTGAGTTTGATTCCTAAAAATAAAAATAATAAGCTCGGTTATTGAAAATTGTAATTCCTCTAGAGGGGCTCGAATTGGAAACCGAATTAATCGGGTATCTTAAAAAATAAAATAATAACAAACAAAAGCAGCCCATTACTTTTTGAGTGTACACTGATGAAATTCATTAGCGAAGGCTGATGAAATCGGTAAAGTGGTTGTTATATCATATAACTTATATGGTTCTTCTTACCCACAAAGCATATTCATAATTATTTTTGTAATATTTCCTTAAAAAAAGAAATACATAATTCACTGAACATATTATTTTAAGACACCAGAAACTAAATAAAAAACAACCAAATAGTATTACAAATGAACTCCAAAAATAGGGAGAGAAAATCCCAGTTAGAGAGTTTCTACATTTTTAAAAAAGGAAAAATTGAAAGGTTGTTTTTATTTAGAGTAACAATATTAGGAAGTTATTTGTAAGTATTACCGTAATTCCTCGATAAATTTGCGTCAGTGCTCTGATTCTGAATTTGGATAATATTTTTTTATACAAAACTTTTCAGCACATTAAAAAATAATTTGTAGATATTTTTGTTTACCTTTTTCGTCGGATGCATCGCATACCTGCTTTCATGTGTGAATGTGAGAAAATATATTTAATTATAATCTCCTTCTTTGGTGTTGCCGTGATTTGTTGAGAAATTATCAAGAAAATATAGCAAATATTATAAGTCGTTTATTTATTTTATAATCAATAGTCAAAAAACAATTATTTGTGATCGCGTCAAATTTTAGTGTTTTAGCGATGAATGAATGAATTTAAAAAAACAAACATTGAGTACTTTTTTTTTTCTTAACCATTTCACAAGACAATATATATATATATATATATATATATATATATATATATATATATATATATATATATGGAAAAAGTGTGTATCCTTTTAAAGGATGAGAAATGCTATTGTAACAACCAACTATTGTTACTACCAATGTTACTACCAATAAATTTTACCGTTAAATCGATTATGTTGATCCAACGGTTATATTCATTTTCATCTTTGTAAGATTATGATTCCTTATATTTTATATTTATTTTTATCTTTGTATAATCATGATTTCCCATATTTAATGCTTTCACATTAAATATAGAGATCATGACGATACAAATGTGGAAATAAATATAACCGTTGGATCAACATAATCGATCTAACGGTAAAATTGATTGGTAGTAACACTAATTGATTGTTACAATATCTTATCCCTTAAAGGATACACACTTATATCCTTTTAAGGGAGATGAAGGAACAAACTCGGGGAAGAGAGAGTGGAGAAAAAATTTGTAATTTAAAATTCAAAAAACACATTACATTTATCTAAAAGGACTATCCTTTTAAATGACAAACAATAAACCCTATATATATATATATATATATATATATATATATATATATATATATATATATATATATATATATATATGAGAAAAATATTTCTCAAGCTGCTTGAGATAAGTTTATCTTCGGCCACCCCAAAACTACGCCGTTTTGTTTATTTATTTCCTTATATTAATTGATTCACCTTTGAATGATTATGATTCCCTTTTTCTCTCTCTTCTTTTATTACCATTGATCCATCTTTGTACAGTTATGATTTAGTAGTCGGAGATAACATTGTCTCAAGCAGGTTGAGAAACGATAAGCCCTATATATATATAGGGGTTTACATTTATGCAGCTGCTGTACGTGGAGCAATCAAATATTTGCCATATATATACTTGAAAGTATTAAATGCGGGAAATCATAACCATACAAAGGATAAAAGCATTAAATGTGGGGAATTATAACCATACACCCGTCGTTGCTGTACGTAAAGCGGTTGCAGAAATGATTTTACCATATATATATATATATATATAACTTTAATATTTCAAAAGTGAATATCGATAAGTTATCTACATTCAATCCCAAAACGACGACGTTTTGGGTTGAAAAATTAAAAAATTAAAAAATTATAATGAAAAATACGATTATAACCCTGAAATAAATTATAATTACAAAAATATATTGATTTTCGCCTCAAAATGACGTCGTTTTGGGCTCAAAAATACCTTGATTTACTTATCTACATTGACAGTTATCTACATTGAGCCCAAAACGACGCCACTTTGAGGCGAAAATCAAGGTATTTTTGTAATTATAATTTATTTCAGGATTATAATAGTATTTTTCACTATAATTTTTTAATTTTTCAACCCAAAACGTCATCGTTTTGGGATCGAATGTAGATAACTTATCTTCATTCACTATAAAAATATTAAAGCAATATATATATATATATATATATATATATATATATATATATATATATATATATATATATATATGTGGCTTTAGCGGATGTAAAGTGACTGCACCTAAGGATTGGTGCTGTCATATAAAACTACGTCGTTTTATAATGTGAAAGCATTAAATATGAGAAATAATAATCATCAACATCAACATCAACACCTTTATCCCAAATAATTGAGTTTGGTGGTAGATGAACCCAAATGAAAGATGCAAAAAAATTGAAAAAAAGAAACATAAAAGTAAAAATAAAAATAAATAAATACAATAGTAATATATATATATATATATATATATATATATATATATATATATATATATAAATAAAAGTAAACAAGAAAGGGAAAAGAAGAAGATGGGCAAATGAAGGGGAAAAGGACTAAAAAGGGGACCATCTGGAACATAGGAATAAAAACGGGTCTAACCCTCCACCATGCTTATAGCTTTTCTTCATTCCGTTCTAAGGCATACCGTCCGCCAATCTATATCCCACTCCATTAAATCTTGTTTTACTACCTTCCTCCAAGTAAGTTTCGGTCTACCTCTACCTCTTATTGTGTTGAGCTCTTGGTAACAAACTTCTGTTCTTACGGGAGCATCCAGGGGCCTTCTCATTACGTGTCCAAACCACCTCAATCAATGTTCTCCCATCTTCTCAGCCACCGATAGTACTCTTACCTTTGGTCGAATATCTTCATTTCTTATCTTATCTATCCTCGTATAACCACATATCCACCTTAACATCATTATCTCTGCTACTCCCATTTTATGCTCATGTTGCCTATGTGCTGGCCAGCATTCAGCTCCATATAGCATTGCAGGTCTTACTGCTGTTTTATAGAATTTTCCTTTTAAGTTAAGGGGGATTTTGCGGTCACACAAAAACCTAGATGCACTGCGTCATTTCATCCACCCTGCTCTGATTCTATGATTTACATCCTCATCAATTTCTCCACTTTTTTGCAAAATGGAGCCCATGTATTTAAAAGCGTCTTTCTTGGGTACCTCTTGACCACTTAGATGCACGGGATCTTGGTCTATATCTCTTACCAGAGAAAACTCACACTTCAGATACTCAGTCTTGCTTCGACTTACTGTGAATCCTTTAGATTCCAATGTGCTTCTCTACAATTTAAGTTTTCTATTAACACCATCCTTGCTCTCATCAATAAGCACAATATCGTCTGCAAAAAGCATACACCATGGCACTTCCTCTTGAATATCTTTTGTTAGTTCATCCATAACTAAGGCAAAGAGATAAGGACTTAGAGCCGACCCTTGGTGTACACCTACCGTGATAGGGAAATAACTTGATGTTCCATTACAAGCTTTAAATAATCATACAAAGGTGAAAATAAATATAAAACATTAAATATGGGCAAGAGAGAATGAAAGAAAGAATGAATAGAGGTAGTGAAGTGAGTTAAGTACCAGACGACGAATTGCAAGATCGATTAATAGAGGAAATTAGAGAAATTAAGAACTAGGGAAAAAATATTGGAAAATCGATGCTATCAATGCCCGGCGGCGGGAGAGAGGGTTGTCAAAGCTGCGTGGGGGAGGAGAGAACAAGCAGGAGTCAGAGAGAGAAAAAAGAGTAAAAGGCTTTTACTTATATTTGGAATGTGAACCGTTAGATGAGATTAAAATCCAACGATGCTGAGATGGGTAGGCAAAAGGTAGGCAAATAGGGAGTAGGTAGAATAACCTATCCCTATATATATATATAGGTTATATTTACAAATTTATTGTTTACAAACTACACTATGTATTACGGGTACATTAGTTTGTAAACTATAAGTTTGTAAATATAACCATACTCTAATTGTATATTTATAATTTTAATTTATTTCAGAATTATAATTATCTTTATCATCCTAATTTTTTAATTTTTTAACCCGAAACGATGTTCTTTAGGTGAATATTAAATAAAATTATCTAAAATAACATTAGATACTTTTTTCCATATATATTATCATCTAAGTGATATAAAAAATGAAAAAGTTATAATTAATTGGGGAAGGATATACTTACCACAAAAAAAGTTTACAACTTTTACAACTAACTTAATCACCGTTGATTTCCGTCAATCTAACAGTTATAATTTATTGGAAATTATTGAGTCATATTTATTAATTATTTATTAATTTTCAATAAATTATAACCGTTAGATTGACGAAAATCAATGGTGATTAAGTTAGTTGTAAAGGTGGTAAATTTTTTTGGTTGTAAGTATATTCTGTCTAATAATTAAAATATCAATCAATTTTTCTTTATTCTATTGCGTTACAGACAAAAACTTTATGTCCACCATCTGCTGGCGTTGCTCATGAAATTAATATTAAAGAATTAGAACCAAAAAAGAAAAGAAATCAAAAGCTTCTATGAGAAGAATGCAATATCAAACTAACACAAGAAAACAAAGTAGAGAAATGGTTAGAGAGTAAACATGGGAAATGAATTGTGTGAGCAGAGTGAAACAGATCTCATCGAAACTTAACTTTGCACCTTTTCAACAACAACATCACACCGTACGTATAGAATTGGTTATAAAAAGATGAGGAAAAGCAAAAGCTGAACGATTATGGCAGCCGGTTGCTAAACAGGTAAATATTCTTCTCTCTTCATTTGTCCTTTCTAATGGGTTACCAAGTTATTTTCATGCTGATTCTTGTCTTTTTATTCTTTGGATTTTTCATTTTTGATTCTTATGAACAAATTATTCCTCGCTCATAACAAGTAATTAATTCAAAGATTCGCTTTATTTTATGATGATTTAAAGGATTATGCGGTTGGGTTGAGTCGAATAAGCCATGTCAAATTAATATATAGTTTTATTTTAGGGGAATTGATGTTTGATACTCTATCGTCTTGCATTCCTAGTCCAAAGAATACGATACCCTGAACCCTACAATAGATGGGGTACTGCAGGCCATTCTTGAAACTTAAAAACAGAAAAATGAAATTCCTTAACTTAAATTACAATTCAATATTTATTTTAATTTGAGTAGACGAATTTTTAGCTACTTTATCATATGAGGTGTGTACGTAATTGTAGACTATTTTTTCAAGTTATTTTATGTGAAAATAAAAATTATAGTATGGGAGATTGACCAAAGTGCCACGCTTGGACAAAAAAATTACCAGACTGCTACGCCAACAGTAAATTTTGCGAAAATGTGTAGCAGTAAATTTTCAAGCACATGGAAAGCACAGTAAATTAAATGACATGTGCATTTTTGGTTTTGACGTGGCATATTTCGCTACACTGTGTAGCGAATTACTTGCATGCATAATTCGCTACACTGTGTAGCAAATTATGCCGCGTGATATTTTGGCAAAATTTACTGTTGGCGTGACAGTCTAGTAAATTTTTTGTCCAATCGCAAAAGGTGTTACGCTAACGCCATCCAACAATTTAACTTGGGATCTAAAATTAACTGTATATAATGTAAGCGCAGTAGGTTTTTATTACAATTTTCCCCATGCAATTAGATCAGTTTAAGAACATCAGAAAAATACATATGGGAGGAAGAAATTGGTAAACATTTAAGAAAATGAAAGTATATATCGGGTGATTCATTTACAAAGACGCCAAGAGGCAAAAACTGCTGAATCTATATCTTTTATTAGACTTTGATAAATGTCCATAAGAAACCAAAAGGGTAAAAGGAAAACAGAAAACTATGCCTTTTTTTTTTAGCTCCCTAATTTTTATTTTTTTTGGCTTTTGGTTTGACAAGAATTACAGCTTTGATGTAACTGTGAGATTCCCTGCAGAAGAGGGGGATGGGTTAGTGTTCCTTAAGGAGAAGAAACAATACTTGTCGTCTGATGTTCATTTCATTTGTATAATCCTTCCTAATTCATGAATTTCCGACAGTTTGGAGCTTTACATAGGCAGGGAACTTTGAATTCATCGGGTTCATCAGGATCAAACAAGTAGTCATACCTGTTCAAAACAGCCAACATCAACTAAAAAGAAAATGCACATGCACAACAAATGTCCTAGGCACGTGGATAAAAATGAATTCTCTCATGTTAAAATTTCAAGTCACTTTATTATGGGAAAATTTTATGGAAAATTATTTTCTTATGCAACAGGAGATAGTGTTCTCATGTTGCGAGACATCGAAATATGTGTTATCCTTTTTGTTTTTTGTTTTTTCTTTAACAAGTGATAGGCCCCACCATTTGTTGTGTCTATGACATGAGAAAAGAGAAATCCAAATTTTATATGTCTCTCTTTTCATAGATATTAAATCGGTAACATCCTATTAAAATTTGTGAACATTTATAAAGAGAGTGATAAACATAAAATTTTCACATATCATGTGAAATTTTAACACGAGAGGATTCATTCCTTGAGTAAACATGCATGAAAGGATTGAGGGAGAGATATATACGTTAGCTCATCACCAGAAGATACGTTGGTCTTAGCAATGAGTACAATCCGGCTCTCGTCATCACCCACACTCATGATCCTTGCATAGCAATTTGGCATACACTGTATTAACATGAACCAAATAAATGGTAAGATGACTATCCAGTATTGAGGGTCGGAGAGAACAATGTTGTACAAAAATCAATTCGGTTAAGGTTGACTCACGGAGTGATTAATTAGCCGTGCGATGTTCCCTTTATCAGTGGCATCTACCACCACTTCTTCACTAATCTTAAACAGCTGCAAAAACAACACAGCAGGACATGAATAATAAGATGACCAGAATCCATTAGTAGGCATAGTTTGGGAAATTAACTCACATAGCAGTCTTTCCCTTGTAATCTATAGCGTGCCTCCCTCATATCCGCAATGCTGCGTCTCACTTGTTCACCGCGATATTCAAGAACCTGCTTATAATTATATCATGTTCATTATTGCTACAGGGAAGCACATGGAAAGCTAAAAAAATAAAGGATCTAAGGACATTGATTTTATGTTAGAATCACATTTCAAATCATTCACGATCCTATATTCTTCACTATATGTCAACACCAGTTGACAAAGCCTTAAGAGAACATAGCATTGGAGATTGGTATTCCCATGCAGGAGTAAGTCATATTGATGGTTTTTTTTGGAAGGGTTTCTATTATGTGCCTCTCAGTGTTATGCAAAACAGAATAGAAGAGATTATTTCTCTAGACTTTTCCAATGCTCAAGTAGTCCAACACATCATGGGTGTTCATAATACCAAAAAAAATCTATCACTGATGGTTGATCTTCACAGAGGAGCAGGTCGTGGGTCTTTGTAATTGTAATGTTTATGGTACTTGAGCATGAGATTCATACCATTTCTCCTTCTTGAATGTTTCTACGTGCAAAGAGGCCCCATCCATGTATGCCTGATCTACCAAAGCAAACCCGTTCATTTTCGGTTCTCTGGAATCATATAAATGTACCCATAAATCAGTCAGAAGAATTGACTACCCAAAGCCAAATCCAATAATTAACCTAAAAAAGAGAAGAATTACCTGCAAGTGGAAAAGGCGTTCTCTGAAAGAAGAAAATGCCTGAGGTTCCTCTATCACCTGTTTGAGGGAAAGAGATGAGGAAAAAAAGAGGAGGGAAAGAATGGGTCTTAAATTCAAGCTAAAAGAATGAATAGGAAAATCTTATATAATTTCAGGAAGACAAAAGGTTTACTCTGTATGCATTTAAACTCTGTATTGCTTCTAAAGAATGATGGCAGTGACCCCTCACTTGATGAGAAATGGCTTCATCTGCTGCTCTCTAACGAGTAGAAGAAATAAAAATGAGAAAAAGTTGAACATTTCAAAGATTCAGAGAAAAGATGGACATAGAAACAAAGGAATCAAAACAAGAAAAGCAGTAACCATGATATTTGACAATTACGTCCCACATACACGTGGCAGCAGGCACATTTTCGTGAAGTTGCATCAGTTGTAATCCAAATATATAAGATATATATTGGTAACATGTATTAACTACTAATATATCTTTAATGTTGAAACACATAAGCACTTCCACTGGAAATGTAAACAGGACAATCAACATAAAATAAATATCAGAGACAATAGTATGCTGTTTAAGTATTATCTTACAGACATTCACCAACATTAACAACAATTTTCTCCAATCTACCTTTTTGGTATGATTTGTTCTTTGAAAGATACGGCACCTAGCAGCAGAAAATGGCTCATGGCCAGCCTTATCAACAGGAGTGTGTTCTTGCTTTATTCTCTTAGATGAGATTAACCTTGATCCAGATTTTCTCTTAGTTTGGAGAAGGCTTTTGGTTGAAATGACCCCAAGAGGAGTTTGCATAATCAAAACAGTGTCTGGATTTGGAGCCCTGCAAGAAATAATAGACAAGATTAAGATGAAAGCTGAAAATAAGATTCAGATAAAGATAAATTTCAGACAAATCTATACATGTACAATTACAAAAAGACAAGTGTTGGACAAAAAGCACACCCTGTAAAGGAAGAGGTAGGAAGAAACAAAGGAGGAAGATTAACACTTTCTTTGTTGTAATTGAGGATTGCATACCTGTGGTAAGCACAATAAGAAACCATTTTTGTTGTCTGCCTACCATTTTTCTCCAAACAATGCAACTGCATTTAAAGGGGAGAAAATTTAATTAAATATTGCCACAGATGAAACATTCAACTACACAACAACAATCAAGTCTTATCCCACTAGGTGGATTTGGCTACATGGATTAATTGATGCCATTGGGCCCTATCAATCTTATGATCCTTGTTAGTCTTCTTGTAATCAGTCATCAAAATGAACTATTAATGCTAAAATCATATATGCTTAAAATAGGGAAATAAATTGAAAATTTCCATTAAATTGCTTAAAATTAAAATAAAAGTCCAAATCGTAAGATACCAAGCAAGGCATGTCAATCTAAGCGAAACCTTACCTCCATTCGATAACCAGCCCTTGATGCACACATAGCATGGAAATAAGTGGAACACTTGCAACATTGTGTACATGAACCATGAATTTGCTTGCAAATAACACAAATCTGAAATTCCAGTAACATAGAGTTTAGATTGTATTTGTTAAACTAGACCGAGAGATATTTAAATGATAAAGATATTAAGAAATCTGGAGTTTAGATCTATGAAGCACTGACACTTCAAAAACTCTATGTGTCGTATCCGACACTTTTCGACATTCCCCGATATTTCGACACTTCAACACGCATTGCAGAGACTCAAAAAAGGGTTCAAAGGTTGCTTTGCGTTACATTTTTAGTTCCAACTATTAGATTTGTTAGATTATGATTACCATTTTATTGAGTTTAATATAAATATTTAGAATATCTTATGTTTTTTTTGCAAAATTGATGGGTATTATAAGTTTAGCTTCATTTTTTTGTTAAATTATTGAAATTAAATATAATATACACTACATAAATTAAAAATATTATTTAATATCAAAACGTGTCCTAACGTGTCGAAATCTAATATTTTTTAGAATTAACTTGTCGAAGTGTCGTGTCGTATCCCGTATCCCATGTCGGTGTCGGTGCAACACAGGTTTAGATCATTTCTTGTATACCACACTCAATGAATAAAACAATAAAATCAGATATATATACTCTTCAGCTTTATAATGTGGTGCGGGGATTTTTTTAACTTAGTATGAAAAATGCATAGAATGGAATCACTTCAACTAGCGAATAACATTACTTTCCACGGGAAGCTTTTGTTACCAGATACCTCACCTTCACAAAAGAATTTGATGGAATAGATAGAATACCCAAAGCAGGCTCCATCTTCTCATCACTAGCAAAAGAGACTTCAGGTCGAAACCAAGCACACGTCACATGAACCCATAATGTGTCAACATCGGTTGGCTTTAGAGCACCACCTGGGAGTCCAAACATAGTTAAAAGAACAAGATTATAGACATCAAATAACATTGCCAAGATAAAAGCATGTCTACGACTCTACAGAGCTTCATGATAATAACTTGAACATTTGTGTAATAGTCAAACTTTTTGTATGACATGGCAATACAATATTGAAAGATACTATAAAAAAGTTTTACACTTACAATAGATCAAAATATAACTCATAGTCAAAAGAGAGAAGGGGGAAAAAAAGAAAAAGAGGGGGGCTGATGAGTAAACTGAATTATAGGCATATATAAGGTTAAAAGAATCAAGTTGGGGAGTTCCAAAAAAAAAAAGAAATTATATGATTGGATGATAATGTAAAAGAGTTTTACATATGTAAAAAAAATAAAAATAAAATAAAATCACTCCCCACTAGACCCCAACGAACGAGGGTGGGGTAAAGGTAATCCTTGTACCCTTACCCTTGCATAGATTAACAAATTAAACTCATAATGAAAAGGAGGCAAAAATACTCAGCCAAGAAGAGTAAAACTGACTAAGGTTAAAAGCAATTGATGATCGCATTTATACTACGTTTTAAATATTGTGGAAAGCATACCTTTTACAGGACAAAGACAACACTCCCGCTTGATACTAGGAGTTTCACAAGCCTTACAAACCCAAGATGTAAAGTCTCGAACATTTCTTGCTCCATAGCATTCTTGATGAACAGCTATTTGACATCTATAAAATATATAATGCATTTGTGTATCAATTGCAATGCAATTCATCATACATAGAGAAAATACAGCAAACCATAAAAGTCTTGCTTTATACTTCAAGCTAGCATAAGAAAAAAAAGATTTCTCGTTTTATTAGCAAATGGTTAGTCAGAATGGCACACTGCTGTATATATAATTGAAAACATAAGACAAGGAGAACGTTCCTGTCAAATGCACTACTATAAAACACTGAAGGTATTTGCTATATGATATTTCAAAATACAGACAACAATTATACCCATGTTAAACACTATATGTATAGGCTATAAGATTTGTAGATGCATGCGGCAATTTGTTCTAATAACTATGTCATTATGGGTTGAACATTGATAATAAATGAACAACAAACTTAAGATGTTACATTACCTGTTACAAATGATAATTTTGTTGTAGTCCCAGTCTTCAACCCATCTACAAACCGCACAACGTTCTGTAGTCCACTTGGCATAAACAGGTTCATACTTCTCTGTCAGAGAAAACAGTTTACCATTATCACTTGGAGAACTTCATCCAGAAAACTCATCATATTGCAAAATGGTACACAAAATGAAGGAGAAAAGGGCACCTTGCAAGAAGGTAAGCAACTTCTGCTTCCTTTCCTTTAGAGAAGATTTTTTAGGTTTGACAGAAACTAGAGCATTAGCATGAAATTCTGCCAATTGCAGCATCTGAGAGGACAAATAGCATTGTATTAGTTACATGTATCCTTATTTCTTATGACAAAGACCTTCCCCCAACCCCAACAAAAAATCTGCAACTTGAATCTTTCTGCTTCTTCCAAATGTCCCATATCATGCAAAAACATGAGACCAATATTATGAGTTCCCAGGGTTTCTCAATAGGTCAGTATTATAAGCGCTTTGATATTCAAGACCAAGGTTATCAAATCTCAATGATAAAAGTAAAGAAAAACAATCAATGATGCATGCAAATATTGCACAATTCAAAACCATCTCCAATGCATCACATGATACAAATCGCTGGCTTGCTGAATAGTATCGAATTGTGAGATTCGAATTGCGAATAGTAATATTCTAACAAATATCCCCAAGAGTACAATGTTTAAATAAAATATTGATATTGACGAACATAGATATTATCATCAATGTTGTTAAAACGTAGAGTCTACGCCGAAACGGTAGGGGTGAGCAAAAACGTAAGAACTTGAAACGTAAGAGTTTACTACATACCCAAAAAAATAAAATATTCAACATACAACCAAAACAAACCAAACCAAGAAAGAGAGAGGAAAAAAAAACCTTGCAACTTGCAAAAGAGAGAGCAGACAGAGACCAGTACCACCGACAAAGAGACCCAAACCAAGAGACCCAAACCCTAATACGGTATGTGAAAATTAATAAGAGATGTTTTATTATTAATAGATTTTAAAACCAAAAGAGACAAAAAAGTCATTATTTTGTTTTATATGACAAAACAATAAAAGGACAACTCAGAATGCTCTTTCTCCAGCCCAAAATCCGATTTTTTTTTTTGAATACTGAGTCAACTCGATAAACTCGCCGAGTCAACTGAGTTGACTTGCCATTTCAAGTTTCAACCGAGTCAGCTCATTTTACATTTCTACAACCGTTTTAACACGTTTTTGGTCAAAAAACGTAAACTCGTACGTTTCAACCGAGTTGACACTACGTTTTAATAACATTGATTATCATATCTAAGACATAAACCATAAGATGGATACATCTTTATAAGTAATTATAATACTATTTGGTAGAATACAATAGTCTACTTATATTTAGCAAGCCCATAAATAAGTTAAATGTATCATACTAAATTACAAGTCTAAAAGAGGGTGGTTAGACTCTTGAACAATCTTAATAGACTAAAGTGATCTGTAAATAAGTAGTATATTTTCAGCACCAAGAGATCGGGAATAGTATGCACTAAAATTAAAAAATAGTCATATGACATATACAAACCCATTGTTCCAGCGGTAGCATGGAGTCTTTCACCCTAATACTTGTTCTCCAATTTCTTAATTTGGAACCTGTGTGCCGTTCCCATTCACTAAGTGCTTGCTTTTCTGTCCCACAAAAACCACACTTGCACACAACTCTGAAGGAGAGAACAATTTTTCATAACCAAAAAGCAAGAAGAAATTAATCATTTTCCAATATAGATGTAATAACAACAGCACATTCAATATTAAAATTAATAATTTGAAACATAATAATGTGAAGTTTGAATGATAAGATACAGTAGATATTAGAAAAGCTGAACCAGCACCATAAGTATGACAAAAACAAAGTTTATCAAATATTGTCTGGCACAAATTTTGGTGGAAGTTAGATCAACATACAAATTAATGAAAATATTAATTTTGGTGGAATCTTTCCAGGGGTTATAAGAGCAAGAGAGAATATTCTTTGGACATAATTTCTTATAGGATTACTAATTGTTGAACAACTACGACGAGAAGTTAATGCAGGAAAATTCCTAAAATTCCAACCAGAGTTTTTTTATTTTTTATTTTTATTTTCTTTTAGGAAAAAAGAATCTCAATAGTGAACTAATGGTGCATTCTCCCTCTTTACGAGCAACACACAAAATCAGATTATATCAGATAGGTATTAATTGCCAATCTCAAAATAGACATTAATTTTTTATAACTTAAACATCTTTTAAATATAATTAATTATAATAAATAACTATAGCAATTAAAAAAAACTATGATAGCCACAACAGAGGACAGAAAATTTTTATGTCAAAGACTTCTCTGAAGGAGTTTGTGCTTACAAGTGAAGGCTTGGAAAATATATGCCTTCCACACCATTGCAGACAACCGTGACCTTATTTGGAAGCACTAGCTGCCCACTGTTTTGGCCATTGTTTTTGTTCCACCTGTAGCAAAGCCTCCAGTTAGTTATAAAAAATAAACCAAAAAAATCACTCCCCATTAAACCTCGATCAGGGAGGGTGGGTTGGGGGCATTCCTTACACGTAACCTTACTATTGCATATTTGCAAAGAGACTGTCTCCCGGACTTGAACCCGTGACTTTTCAGTCACAAAGGAGTAGCTTTACCACTACTCCACAGACGCTGTTCTTTTAAAGTTATAAAAAATACAACATATAAAATAAAAAATGACATTTTTTTATAATATCTGACAACTGTTCTGAATTGGTATATGAATTTGAATCCCAATATAAGGAACAAGCTTCATGCGACCTTTACATGAAATCATTAGGTTAAATCACAAAAATGGGGCTGGAGGAGACAAAAAAAGAACCATAATAGACTTACTTGACTTTCGGCTGTGATTTTTCTGAATCAGATAACTCAAAATCAAACTTGGCTTTGCAAGTAGGGCAGTAATAATCAGTGCCTTCAAGATTCTTCAAAAAACAAAATATACCAATCAGTAAAAATCCAAAATGTCACTTTATGAGCTTCAAATGCTGAGAAGAGACAACATTAAGATATCAAGTCATGGATAAACCTTGAAAAGGTTGCTAGGAATTTTGTCGCATTCTGCATGTACCCACACTTTACATCCATCACAGCGCACCTAATTCGGAGAGGAAATCCGGAAAGGTTTCAAAAATTAATACTACAAAGCAATAGTCTTTGAGCAGAAAATAATAACCTTAGTTTGCTAACAGGACCCAACTAACTCACCCAACTTCCACTATCCGAATGATTCCAAACTTTCTTGCATATGCCACAATAATGTTTTGATTTTGTTAACTGCCAAAAAAAATGACTTCAAAGACTACAAAAAATATGCAATCTTCAAGACAGATACAGAACTAACAATAATTTTTCATTGCAGACTTAATATAAGAAAAATGCAAGATATACAAACCCTGGCACATGTTTTGCACAAGAATTGGCCACCAGGAGTTGAATTCTTCGTTTTCTTTGACATCTTGTAAGGAACGCCCAATCCACAGGCTTCACAGGGTCGAGTGTCTTTCTTCTGATCAAGTAAATCCTGCATTTGGAATTCAAATCAATGAACTGTTAAACTTGACCAAACTTCAGCAGCATTCCTCACTACCACACTTTTGTGGAGGAATGATTACATATTCAAAGCAAAGAAAAATCAGCATTTGGAATTCAAATCAATGAACTGTTAAACTTGACCAAACTTCAGCAGCATTCCTCACTACCACACTTTTGTGGAGGAATGATTACATATTCAAAGCAAAGAAAAATCAGTGTGTCAAATCTACAAGTCAGTCTATGAGAAAAAGACCGATTGGTGCCTCAGTCAATTTCCAGTTACGAACTATGTTCATATTATCAGCTTTCCTTAAGTGGCCCCTAAAGAAGAAGCCCAGTAGCTGACTTACCTGGTTCAGAAAGTCGTATCCTGCATACTGGTTTGAACCATCTACCTCCTGAAAAGCTTTCAGCATAGTATCATCATAACCAGCTGCTATATTTATATCTGCTATCAACTTCTCAGTGAAGCCCTGATCTGCCAAAAATGCCTCCTCTATTGCCATTTGAAAGTCAGAGGGATTATAGTATTTCAATTCAGACTGCCCCTGAAACCTAAACCAAGGAATATCATGCCTCGTAAGTAAAAATTCTTCCACAAAAAAGGACCAACTGGTGGTAGTTTCAAACAATGTAAACAAATAGATAAAAATCAACAACTCCACACCTGTCCACATATTCCATAAATGGAAAAATCATCCCATGCTTCACCCATGCATAGTCCTGCTCAAATATTCAAAACATAATAAATAGGCAATTTACCAAATAGCAAAGAAGCTCTATATAGAAAGTAGTTCATAGTCCTGCATTTACATACCCTTTGATTTTCATTCCCGGCGTACCCAAGAAACATGATACAAGCTGCATCAGCTATCCAAGACCTCACAACCAGCTCAGGTGCTTGAGATACAGGATCAATGACAATGGCTGGCCAAAAAGGTTCCTTCCTCCCAGCTTTGGCCCACACTATATCACCTGCATAAAAATCTTCTGGTCCATACAATCCATCTTTCTTCTCCCCATTCTCCTTCAAAACCCTCTCATTTCCCATCAAATCAACTCCTTCAACCTCCAGAAACCTTCCTCTCTCATCTTCAACCAACACCTCAAGCCTTGAGGCCAATGCACCACCACGCGAAGTTGAATACTTGCTCGTACCAAAACTCTTATACCTCACACTTGCTTCATCCCCACACAATGCAGAGTACTTGCGAGGCTTATAACCGATTTTCTCATCGTTTCGCCCTTTCCTCGCATTCTGATTGCAAATTTTGGGTGCCCTGAAGCTGAACTTGTCCTTCTTGCATTCAAATTCGTCTTCACAATCATAATCACGCAAGCTAGTCTTGCTCTCCTTCCTCCAATTATCAATAACAGAGTCGTTGAACCGCGAAGGGAGAACCTGAACTCGCCCCCTCGACGTCCGAACCAGCGGTGGCCGTTGAACCTGGTTCTTCTTGGCTCGAATGGCGTCGCTTTTCGAGTTCGATTCAACTTCGCCGGGGGAGCACGGTACTTGGGTGCACCATGATGCAGATAAGCCCTTCTCCGACACGCCGGCACTCAGAAGGCCATGAAAGTTCCCCGGTATTATTCCGGCGGCGACTTCGCCGAGAAGGTTCAGAGGGTAGTACCCGTTCGTCTTCTTCTTCTTACGAGCATAAGAGCACTCGTCGTCCTCGCCCATCGGGTCACCGAGTTTGCACCGTTTCAGACTCGGCATTTGGGATTTCAGGTTCCGCTTGATAATCATTCTTCTCGCTGCAGGCACAATCACCGCACGGGTTGCGTTAAAAATCGCAACTTCTAGAACCCCACAAAGGAAATTTTTACTCCCAAGTCCCAACGCCAAACGCAGCCCATAAACCCTAATCGCGAATTGAATTCCAAGAAACAGAGCAACCACAGAAGCAAGAGGCAAGGCGGAATTTTGAGCGTATAAACTGAGAGACACGACAAGAGGGTCGAAGAAAGTAAGGGAATTGAATACAAGAATGTCGAAAAATTCTGATCGAGAAGATCGAATGAGCAGAGAGGAAGAAAGAGGGATCTGTTTGGGTGAGCTCTCTCACCAACTGCCTCTGAAGACAGAGAGAGAACTTCAGGAGAGAAACATAAACATTATTTTTATGCAAAAATTCTCAGACAAATTGCAATGTAATTTGTATTTTACGGAAGCAACAAAAAAAATTGTAACATAGGATGGGGTTTTAATTTAAGAAAAATTTTAGAGAGAGAAAGGAAGAGGGAACAAGAAAAGGGTGACAGAGCAAAGACTAGAGAGAGAGAGTAAGACGGATGTCTCGGCGTTATCTTGAGTGTGTTTATATGTTGTTACGTAGTGATGTGTGTGTGTGTGTGTGATGGGGCCAGAGGCTAACTTGCGCCACTCGGGTTGGTAGCGCAAATTCTTCTTCAAAGTCGTGAGCTTGGTGATGGCAATCTGGTTCAGCATCGTGGGCCGGGTTTCATGTGTCCCATTATTCGTTCTTAGTTTTCGTGTAACGGCTATGGCTATGGCTATGCCATGCAAGCGTCAAAGTTGCAAGCAGAGAAGGACTGGGTTCGAGAGTGGGTCACCAAATTTGTTCCAAGAATTTTGGAGCAGCCATAATGTGTCAATAATATATGTTTATATATGGGAAACATGTTTTTATTGTAGATGTTGTTGTCCTTAGTTTCCTGTCTATGGTTTGGGATTTGGGAATTTCACACTACCACACCACCACCATAATGCACAAAAAAATTTAGTTCCTTAGAATCTGTTGTTTATAGTAAGTTTTGTATTCTCCGGTGGGGGAGGTTGCAATATGTTTGACATGGGACGTAAATAGCATTTGGTGAAATCAAATTTTGTGTGTGTGTGTGTGCTTGTAGGCGTTGTGGTTGGACTAGGAGCAGAAGATTACATTTGAACACTGCTCGTAGATTTGGTTCCAAATATCTGGTGGAATAGCGCTAATTTTATTTATTTATTTATTTCAAATTCATGAGAATGTTTTCTGTTGCAAGAGGACGACGTGCAACAGTGCGAATAGGGCAGAGCTTGACCAGTCCAAAATAGTCAAATATATTTATTGTTGTGAATTTTAAGATTTGAATTTTGTTATTGTTGGAATGTAATTTGATTTAGTGCATACATGTGTGAGGGATTGCAGCATGGAACGATGGCGTTTGGTTCTTCATCCGCATAAAAGATGAGTTGGGCATGTGGGTATTGTATTGGGTGGTTTTCGTGATTGGTGAGTGGGTCTTCTGCTTGTTGGATCTACGCACTACACGCCACTGACACCACTTTCTCAATTTTATGGGTTTTTTTCATTTTCTTTAAAAATAAAACAAAGTTGTTTATTCGAAGACGAAACCTCCCGTGTAAACGCATGACCGCAGTGAAGCCATGGAAGTTTGTTATCATTGTTTGTGGTGTTATATATGCTGGCACAATTTTAGCCATAGAAAGAATGCAAGCACATGTATAACTTTGTTGTGGGTATCTAATTTATTATTAATGGATAACATGATTTATTTATTATTTCGAAAAGGCTAAAAAACGAAGATTGGAATTACTTGAAACATGGAAAACACTGTTCCGGAAGCTTCTATAGAGTATAGCTCAAAAGGGGAAGCTTTATAAAGTCTATAGTTTAAACAACAAAAATTTCGTTCACTGCGTTTTGTATAGTTAAAATGAAAAAAAGTAAAAGAAAAAAAGAGAGATAAAAATAAGCAGTTGCGGGGGGAGCAAGAGGATGATGGTTTGTCGATCACTTATTTGTCGTGATATGAGAGTAGTTTAAGCTCAGGGTCTGAACCCACAAGTTGAACTTACTTAAAACCCCTATTTTAATATGAACCACGTGCATAACATAATATGATTTGTATACATGTTTATGTATTTGGCTTATCCTACTTTTTACGCTCTCACATGGTATATATATTAACTATGTGTGTGTGTGTACGTATTCACAAACGTTTGATTGGCGTGTGGGGTTAAGTTCTGCATGTTAGGTCGATGGATTTTCTCTTTTGGTATTGTTTTTAGATAGTGTTCCCCCAGCGAAAGAAGTTCTCCATCTTGTTAGGCACAGGGTAGCTAAACAAAACAAGTTTCCTGTTAAATTTATAGGAAATCTTTTTCGATGTAGATAAATTATCTTAGGTTGGTGAAACAAAATAATAAGAGGGACCCACAAATAATTGGACAGAGAAAAAATAAAAGTGGAACCCACCTTTGTTATTTGTGTGTAGAAAAATAAATTATCCCATGTTGAATGAGATAAATATAACCCTAAATTTATAAGGGATGATACTTTTATTACTAAAAAAATTCATTACCAATACATTACTTATTTAATTATCAATGTATTAAAAGTTCACCTTTTCTGTAGTTACTGCAGATAACTTATCTGCAGTAAGTCTAATACGACGTCGTTTTAGGGCGAAAACTATAGTGTTTTGTAATTTTAACTTATTTCAGGATTATTAGAGTCTTTATAATTATAATTATTTAATTTTTCAATCCTAAAACGACGTCGTTTTGGGAGCAAATGCAGATAACTTATTTGCAGTAACTCTGCAGAAATATTTTTCTGTTGTATTAATATTTTCTC